AACAGAGGTTACATGTGCTGGCAAAGATTAAAAATTCAGATGAGTGTATGCTGTGTGTAGTTTTTCTGTAATTGTTTCTGTAATTATTTATTTTATATAATCACAGACGTTACAGTAGGCTATTTCACTATCATTGATTGATTGCAGTTTTAATCCAATCATGTTCAAAGAAAGGTTAGTAATAAACATTTATACAAAATACAAATATATATATATATATATATATATATATATATATATATATATATATATATATATATATATATATAGTATTTATGTGTAATATATAAAGTGTTTATGTGTATAAAGCATCCATTTTGTGAGAAGTGCTTCTCATATGATATGTGAACGACCCGTACAGCTTTACTGTAGACATTTCCTTGAGCGAGAATGACATCGACTGAAACTTTGTCTTAAACCACGCACATCAAAAGGGTACCCTTTTGCTAGTGGAAACAAAAGCCTGATAAAGTTAACTCATTCCAACCCGTACCATACCACGTTTGTCCAAATTAAGCTAATTCACCAGCATGATGCTGATTATTTTTCTGTTTCTAGCTTGCGCAGGCCCGCACCATCACAGTCTAATTTGAATACAGAATTGATTCAGAATAGCTGAGGAATAAATCATATTGCATTGATGAATAATTTTTTTTCCCTTCCCACACCTAATAAATATTGATGTCAGATTTCATGCCAAAATGGCCAATTATGCTATATCAGTGCTATTTTCACAAGCAAATTTGATCCTTAAATATGTTTAAACATCTATATATACAAATAAGTCTTACCCTGAATAGGCATGGGACAATAACCAGTTTCAAAGTTTACAGCAGTTGGAAAAGTCAAGGTTTTAAAACCGCTAAAATGTTCTGTTATACCGTTTCTATGGTATATGTGATATACAATTCAGGAGACAAATCGTTTGTACGTAAACATCCAAACATGCTATAGACATGAACAATGCAGTGGCTTTTACTTTATCCAAAGATAAGATATCTAAAGAGGCCTTTTCAATTTCTGTGTTTTTGAAACTAATGAAGATGGACGAGGTCAATCATTTGGGCAATCAATACATTTTTGGCCCGACATGTTTACCGTTCCGAAACATTTAAAATGTTTCTTAAAATAAAATATATTGTGTTAAATAGTGAATAAAGCTGTTGTTGTTTTTTTTTACTCGGACATTTGAAAAGAATTATATTTTATTTCCATACTTTAGAGCAGTAATCACAATATTATGTAATCATAACATTTTTATTTACGGTTATCATACCGTCAGAATCCTATAGTGGCCCATGCCTTACCCTAAATAATTAAAAAAATAAAAAGCCAAATGTATAACTGCAATTACAAATAAACAGGAAATGAGTGTCCATCTTTGTGTTCTATACATTTGTGTTTTGCAGCCATCTCTGCCGCCCGTGTCATAACCGTGAGAAAGCTCGAGGCCTAGGGAAGTACATCTGTCAGAAGTGTCACGCGATCATCGAGGAGCAGCCCCTGATTTTCAAAAATGACCCCTATCACCCGGACCACTTCAACTGCAGCAACTGCGGGTCAGTAGAGCAGCGCTGCATGTGTATGCTGCCGCTATACTGAAGAGCTGTGATTGAGCTTTTGTGTGTTTTACAGTAAAGAGCTGACCGCTGATGCCCGCGAGCTGAAAGGGGAGCTCTACTGTCTGCCCTGCCATGATAAGATGGGTGTGCCGATCTGTGGAGCCTGCAGACGGCCAATCGAGGGCCGAGTGGTCAATGCCATGGGCAAACAGTGGCACGTGGAGGTTAGTATGATTAACATCAGGGCTTGACATGAACTTTTTTGATCACCAACCACTGTGGCTAGTAGATTTCCAACATTACTAGCCACTCGCCATTTTCACAATTTTGTTGTTGGGAAATTATGTTTTATATGCATAAACTTGACTTTGTCATGCTAAAATTACTTGATTTAGATTTTGTGTTATATCCACATGCCTCCAGGCTCAAAAGACCTGTTATTAATCTGTTGAAGGAATAATTAACGAAATCAGTGACCGCTGCTTATAAGAGGATTTTTTTTTTTTTTTAAATCTTGAGCTCTTGAAAGCAGCAGGACTGTGTGCACACAATCATCTCTTTTTGTTCAGTATATTTCAAAGACTACCGATTTGCGTTTCCTCTCAGCACGATTGCTTTGCGCAAGTAAACGGGGGCGCGCACAGTTTTTAACAGCTGCACGCATCACATCACCTGTGCATGCGATTGATCATCCTGTCATTCTGTATTCACCTGCTTTCTTTTGCTCATGCGAACACAGTTATTATTGTCAGTCGTGCTGCTTCTTGATTCTAATATCACATTTGCACAAATATTGGGCCATGCTTAATTGTCGAACCCTGCTTTTAAGAAAACTACATTTTTAAAATTATTTTAAACCAGCCAAAGTGGCTAGTAGGAATGTCTGTCTGACCTGCCACAGCTGAAATCAACCCGCATTTGTCGAGTGTTACGAGGTTTAAATTTTGTTCAAGCGTTGTTTAAAGTGTTTGACTTCAAAAAAGCATGAATATATATTTTTTCCTCCTAATATTAACAACTGCGTGTTCGATCCATAAGATTGGTTTGGGCCTGTGCGTGTCCGGCCAAGCTCCTCAGTTCAGGTGATGTCACTTATTTGCAGCAAAAGTGGGAAGGTGACGTGACACTCTCCACATGTAGCGAAACCATAGAGTGAAACGCAAAATGGAAAAATGTAAGTTTGCGTACTCCTGGTTGGAGAAAGTGGAGTTAAACAGTGGCTGAAGCCTGTCGTTGAAAACAACCTCGTAATTTATTATTTCAAGCTTTGTTTTTTCCGAGCTTATCTGAGTTCTGTTGCATGGTTGTGCTCCATTGATTTAACTACAACTGTTTATTAACAACTATTTTTTAAGTTAAAGGTTTGATACTGATTAGAACTTTAAGTGGTGATGAGGTCTTTAAATATTCTAAGGTCTTTAAAAAGTCTTAAAAAGGTATTGAAATTTGGGATTCCTGCATACACCCTGCTGCAGTAATGCTGCTGAATTTAACTCTGAAAAAAATTTATTGTAAGATATTTTATAATAGGATTTGATAATATGACATTATATTTTTGCATATAAAATGTAATAATATTTTAGAAAAATATTACTATTTTTAAACCATTTATTTAATCAAATGCAGCCTTGGTGTGGATATCATAAAAAAAAAAAAAAAAACTTTTTAATTGACCCTAAACCTTTTACATATATTTGAATAAATTGACAGCTTGTGTGTTTGTGTGTGTTTGCAGCATTTTGTCTGTGCTAAATGTGAGAAGCCTTTCCTGGGACACCGCCATTATGAGAGGAAAGGTCTTGCTTACTGTGAGACTCACTACAATCAGGTGACTTCAACCTTCATAACAAAGAAACAACCTTCTGTAAATAATGAAGCGTTCATCTAGTGACACTAAAACTACTCATGTCTGTTTTGCAGCTCTTTGGTGATGTCTGTTACCACTGCAACAGAGTGATCGAAGGAGACGGTAATTCTGTTCACTTGAACAAGATTGACAAAGTTTTCAGCCAAGTAATAAATCAAATGTGGACGTATGATGATAACTAAGAGTTATTATAAAATTTAGTTTAAAAACCATATGAAGCATCACTAAATTTAACATGATCAAACAATTTTCATACATTTCATTCATAATTCTTAATACATTTTAAAGTGTTTGACGTGAGAGCTGCTGAAGTGATTTATGGTACAATTCAATAAAAAAAATCTTTAAAAATATATATCGTAATCTACAAATTAATAAAGTCATACAAAAATGCTAAGTGCATTTTTTTTACAGTTTACTGAAAAACACCATGAAAATCCTGTAGCGTCTCACCTTGAAGATTTATTATTTAAATAACTGCTGCTGATAATAATAATAATAAAGCTTTGAAGTGAAGTTGTTGTTATGTCTCCAGTGACTGGAATTGTGAGTTAATCGTTTGTGTGTGTGTGTGTTTTTTTTCTTTAGTGGTTTCGGCTTTGAATAAGGCCTGGTGTGTGAACTGCTTCTCGTGCTCAACCTGTAACACCAAACTCACCCTGAAGTAAGTGATTTCACACAATGATTTATATACTGTACAAACTGTATGTACTCTATCCCCTTACCCTAACCCTATCCTAAAATCCAACCAATCAGCCCCAACTTCAGACACACCTTCTGTCAAGCATTGACGCTGAAGCCCCGAGTGAATGGGGACTTAGGGTGTACTCACACTGGCTATCTGATATGACCCTATGTCAGGTTTATTTGACTAGTGTGAGTGCTCCATACTGCCCGGGTGCAATTTGGTTGGCTGGTCCTGACCTGGTGGGAAAGGATGGGCTGGGGTGCGGTACAGTTTTAGAACATGGTACAAAATTAACTATGTAACATCACTTTCAATTGACCGCTTCATATGGATTTATTACTCATACTTTCAATGAATGCAAACTGTCATAGTTTTTCAAAGATGCAAACCCCTCGCTGCACTTCAGCATGTCTCCTAATACGTTCACACGCTATCTGTGCTGACATTACTCATTGACTTTGTATGGAGTGACGTCTAAACGTTGTCGAACTAAATTGTGGATTCGTCAAGTCATGTTGGGTCTTTTTTTCACGGCGACCAATCGCCAACAAAGGTGTCAGACAATCGGATCATTTTATGCAAAATACTAGTGTAGATGCTTGTCAATCACATTTATCACACCAGAGAATATCGGTCCGTCTAAATGGAGGGAAAGCTTATTATGACGATTGGTAATCGCCCAGTGCATTATAATCAATCTTTTATACACTACTGCTACTACTACTACTACTACTTCTGTGTCTTTTTGTGTCGCAGTCTAAGCTGAATGTGATTGGCTGTTGTCACTATGTCATCAGTGTGAGCTTCAGACATACCCTCCAAGCATTGACACTAATGCCCAGTGGGAACAGGGCGTGACTGATGAAAATTTGAGTGCCAAAAGTGAAGCTTATGTTCAGCAAAATATTCGTCTGTGTGTCACTACGTTCCAAACCACTTAAAATTATAAAAACAATATAACTAAAGCAATCTCCATTATACTGAGCGAGAGCGACTTTTTTTTTTTTTTTACTAAACTCACTCATTGATGACAAGCATGCTTGAGCTTGGGTAAAAATGCAATGTGAGGCTGCATCCTAAAAATTACACACTTCCCTACGATATAGTATGCTAAAATAGGTATGCAAGCAGAGTAGTATGTTGAATTCACAGTATTGGAAAAACGGTATGCGAGAAGTACTTGGAAGACCTACAACTTTGAGCGATTCTGAAGTGCGCATCCAATGGACGATATGCTATCCTATGATGCCATGTGTGGGTTTCATGAATGCGAGTAAAGCAGCAACGGGTAGGTCACATGATGACAAATTTCGTATTTAGTATCTTTAAATTCCATTCATACTATATAGAACATACTTTTCAAATGGTTGTTTAGTGAATTTAAATTCAAATGTATAAGGTAATATTCAAGGATCAGGTAACTTTACATGCAGCCTGAGTGCGAGTTGTCGGGGGAGGGGGAAAGGGGTGGGCCAATCATGCCCAGACTCGGTTCAAGTCAACCATGCCTAGTGTGAGTACACCCTAAGTGACTTTAGGTGGCTATGTGTAAATTTATGCAGAAGTGTTTTTAAATTAAGCCTGGACCACTGTGATGTTCTCTCAGTTCATTACTAATCCTTCGCTCTCGCTAACTCTTGTATTGTCTATTTCTGTCTCTTTCCATTCATTTCTCGTTCTGTCTCTTTCTCGGTCCAAACCCATTCCTCCTCTATTTTCTCTCTGTCTTATCTGCTGGTTTGGTGTGTGTCTGGGGATTGTGGGGACGGTGGTGCTGCAGGGACAGGTTTGTGGAGGTGGACCTGAAGCCTGTCTGTAAACACTGTTATGAACGTCTGCCGGAAGAGCTGAAACGCCGCTTGGCCAAACGTGAACGCGACTCTCGCGAGCGCAGAAAGAAAGCCATCGCCGTCTGTCTGTAACCCTTTTCTCTGTTTTTCCTCCTTCATTCACGCTCATCTGCGTCACTCGCTCATTATCGGTGGTTAGTGTTTTCAGACTCATCATTCATTTTATGTTGTTTTCTTTATCATGGCGATATAGAGAGTATGAATATATTACATCGTTTTCAGCTCATTCTGCATTGATTTTCTTTTTAAAATGTGGTATCTATAAAGATTTTGCATACTCATTTCATATTACATAAATTATATCCTCATTTTACTGTTAATTTGCCATAAAAACATGATCATATATTTGATATAATAATGAATTTTTTCATTTGAATTTTCTGGTCTCTCATGCACTGCACCAGCTGCAGTTTTTTTTTATTTTTTATAAAAAATAAGCACACATAATAAGAAAAATTTTAAATGACTAAAACACATTACTAGCATGTATGCAATTTATATTATCTTACATTCTTATGGTTTACAATCGAAATTAAGACACCCTTTATATATATATATATATATATATTAGGGATGCTCCGATCTGGATTTTTGGAGCTGATACCAAGAACCGAGTCCTTGTCATGTTGATTGGCTGATACGGAGTACCGATTCTGAAGCTATATAACTTTATCATTGCATACTGCACATGTTCCTTCTAAGTATGATATTTAAGTGAAGATTTCTCCTTTCCTAAGAGAATAAATAAAGGATGTTGCATATGATCCCCTAAACGCGCAACTTATAACCATTTAGTGTGGTCATCGTCAGAAGCAGCTTTACAAGGTAAAAGACAGATAAAAAAAAATAAATAAATAAATTGGTAAGAAATGACTAACAATAATTCAGGGGAGCTTATAATTCTGACTTCAACTTTGTATGTGTAGCTCGCTTTCTGATATGATCATTTTAGTTCATTAATTTATTTCTAACCATTTCTAATTTCCATTAATAAATGTATTTATTATGCCATTTTTTATATAGTTTTAATTTATTTGTATTTGTTTTAACAAAGATTTTGTTTTTTTAAATGTTTAAACCATTTCAGTCAATTGCAAAGGTAAAATTTGTTTTTTGTTGCACTGCCTCATTCATTTCTAAAAATAAATAAAAGTTAAAAGCATTTAACAGTAAACTGTTAGTAGAATTAACTGCATACTTGCATAGCTAGCTCATGTTTTTGGCCTAAATGCATGAGAAAGCACATTTATGCAAATCTTGTGTTTTAGGAACAAGTTTGTGGAGTTTGACATGAAGCCGGTGTGTAAGAAATGCTACGAGAAGTTTCCTCTGGAGCTGAAGAAGAGGCTGAAGAAGCTGGCCGAGACTTTGGGCCGCAAGTAAAACTCATCGTAATCATCATCTGTGCTCAAATCAACAGACCAAACCAAACCAAAGCGCAGATCATCTTGGAATAGTTGTCTTACTTTATCCTACTTAAACTTTAAGTGTGTTTTTCTACCACAGAAAGTATTGCAGGCAGATTTTTACTGGTTTCACGCTAATGGATGCGCACGTGTCTTAAAAAAACCTGCAAACTAATCAAAACAGTTACCTTTATATTGTTAATGATAAATATACAGTCGTGGAAAAAGGAGACTAATAAATCTTGAGAAACTGAGTATGGATTTGAGGAAAATGTTATTTGTTTTATTCAATAAAGGATTTCTGATAACATTTCTTTTAAACGTTAAATCAAAATATTGTAAATAGCAAATTGCTAAGTGGTTAGAAAAAAATAATGTCTTATTTTGTTGTCTAAAATTAAATGTAAACTTGGCTGAAAATATGCCACTTTGTTATTTTAAGCAAAACATTTCATCTTAAAAATCAAAATAAATGTAATCAGACATTTACAGAATAAATACATTACCTGCCAACACTCCTGTTTTTTCCCAGGAGTCTCCTGTATTTCCCATCTCCCGCCACCCTTCCCTTTTGTTACTTTGCCCAGAAAACTCACGTAATTCCACCCCACCCCCTTTTTCTCATCTTTTGGTACAGTCTGTAACACCCTTGGTGGTTAACTTTAGTAAAGTATCCGATCGCTGCAGCTGCCCTTCTTTTTTTTGTTTTTTTTTCATCTATATTATAATAATAATAATAATAATTATTATTGTTATTATTATAATAATATAGATGCCATATTTTTGTTAGACATGTTAACATTATTTAGTGTTAATTGCCAAGAAAACAGCATTTCATGAAATGACCCTGTATTTAAAAAAATATTTCAATGATTGAAATTTTCTGAAAAAAAAAAAAAAATAAATCTCTTTGATATTTGGAAGACATTATTAAACCTTTAAAGAACAATATGGAATTAAACCATACCTGCCAACACTCCTGTTTTTCCCGGGAGTCTCTCGTATTTCAGACCCATCTCCCACCATCCTCCCATTTTGTTACTTCTCCCGGAAAACTCAACAATCACGGCTGCAGCCCGCAGCTTGATGATGTAGTTGACTACTCCCCCATCCCCTATCAACTGTATAAACCCACACCAATACACCAACTATCAAGCCCCCACCCCAACCCTGGTCTCCTGGAATTTCAGAGACAAATGTTGTCAAAAACTAAACTTGCTTTATTCAAACACGTCTATATTTTCATTTAAATCAGATTATTGGTGCCATATTTTGTTAGACATGTTGGTAACAGTTTAGTTTAGGTCACAATTCACGGTATTAACAAACCATTAACCAACGCTACTAGCTTAATAAACTACTAATTAAGTGTTTATTAATAGTAATGTAGTAGTTGGGTTCAAGTTTTTGTTAGGATTAGGGATGTAGAATTAGATCATACTTTATAACTATTGATGAACAGTTAATATCTTAATAGTAGGCGGGTAATATGACGGTTGTTAATTGCATGAATTGTGACCCAAACTAAAGTATTACTGACTTGTTTAAATTAATTAAGTTTTAAGTGCTAAGACGATAGAATTTAATGAAATAACCCTGATGTGTAAATCTCTCTATTTGATATTTGAAAGGCATTATTAAACCTTTATAGAATAAAACCAATATTAACACTTCACTTAAATCCTTGACCCGACCCCCCCCCCCTACACCGGTATAAACGTACATGCATGTTTATGAAGATAATGTTTGTATTGGCTGCGTTCAGACGGATTATTCGGCATGTTTTTGCTCTTTTCCTGAAGGCAGAAACTTGTGGTGTGTCTGACCGCAGGCCTGGCTTTGAAGCATCGATCTGAGAGATGTTTTTGATATTTAATGTATGCTCAGGCCTTGTGTTTTTCTGTCAGAAAGGGGATCAAAAGTTAATGCATGATGTAATGAGCCTGGAGGAACAAGACAACCTCTAAAGCAAAGTCTTCGCTCCACTGAACAAAGTGCTCTGGCTGTTTAATCTCCTTCTCAGCTTAAATTATCCAGCTTTATTAAAGCCCTCACTGTGTTCTCCAAATATGCAATAAATTACACCGCTTATATTACTTCTGAGAGCTTTATGAACTGTGTTGCCAGTCTTGCGTCATAACACCCTTGTCTTTTTCTATTTCGATTGAAAGTTTAGTTTTTACGACCCGCCTGCCTTCTTTTATTATGACTGAGAAAATGCCTTGAAATATAATGAACTTGTGCCTTGTTTTGTTATCTGCATTACTTTTGATGATTAATGAAACGATTGACTGAAGTCTGGAAGACTCTTTTTAAAAAGGCGATAATTAAGATTTAACCTCACTACGTTTCTACTTTATATGCTTAAGTTTTTTTTTTTTTTTTTTATCTTTGATTATATATTTAGCCATGTACTGTTCATGAAATGTCTTTTTACCGTTACGGTCAGCAATATTGAGCAACAGCAAAACTGCTTTGTGCTTGTCTCCTATCACTGTCTGTATTCACTGAACGATGCATTTCAGCAAAATATGTATTGACAGGCTTGCTGGCAGCTTTTAAATAATACATTTCACCATGTTCTGTATGGAATATCAAAGTATATCAATAAAGTATGCACTATTTAATTTGTTTGTGTGTTTATTAAGTTTGAAAATCAAATGAGCTCAATTTGGGTTCTTTTTTTAAATTTGGTATTTTTAGAGGATCATTTTTCATGGCAGTAAACTCTGAAAAAAGGCTCATTGTTGGCGTGTTGCTATTTTGAGGATCTGAAAGAGACCAAGCTATTGACCGACTAAAAGCTGGTCTCAAGTCCAGCGCAGAGTGCGTTAGTTATGTGCCTATGCAGGTCCAAAATGCACACAAGATGTACAGCAAGACACAAGTATTTTACAAAAATTAACGTAAATTAACGGATTAAAATGTTACTAAAAATATTATTTTCTACATAAATATAAATACCACTACCTCCATGTCTTCATCATGCCTCTATGCCTTTTTTCCAGTTCATTCATGACCATCTGCATTTGTATAATGTTAATGTTGTATAATGTTGTATTATTCATTATATGCATATTTCTATATGTTTTATTATATTTGTCCACCTGTCGGGTTTAGAGATGTATGCAACACCATATGGGGCATAAGAATAGCATGTGTGTTTGGATAGAGCTCAGTTGTTTGACCACACTTTGTTATTATTGTTCATTTATTTGTTTCCCAGAATTAGAACTGAATTTGTAAATGGTTTTGAAACAAATCTTTGCACTTAAATGAAATTAAATATGTAGGCTAATGAATGTCCTCAGTGGAATAAGTTTCCACCGTTAACTCCACGAAAGTAAAGAGTAAAAGTAAAGTATCCTTACGCTGCAGATAGTCTGTTTAACTGTTCTCACTAGTGAAGCGTTCAGTTTTTCCACTTACAAAGTCCATCATGTAAATAGCAAATGCGCCATGATGCGACACAACTGTCTCTTAAAGGGAATAGGAGATGAGACTCCGATTGTTTTAATGCACGTTATGCTCAAAACACATCCAAAACTCTTTAAAAGAATAAGCACTACCTTGTTAGACCATGCGCCAGGGCACAGTGCGTATTTTTCATCCTTAAAATAGCAAAAGTGGATTTGGACATGCCTTGATGCTTTTGCACCATGCACTTTAGACTTTGCACCTAGATCGTTAAAATAGAGCCCTTATTTTCGTGTTAAATTTATTCATTTTTTTAAAGTTTATTATAACAATTTAAATTTTTTTCCAACCAAAGTGGTCATTTTTTTTTTACTTTGTTCTCCGCTAAGAATCTTATATAAATATATTTATTTTAAATTGCTACTAAGTTTTTTGACATTCAAATTAGGTAAAAAGCAGTTATTGATAAAAGGAAACAACTGCAGCCGAAGGTTAATGAGATACATTAATATTATTTATTAAATCACCTATAAAGTGTATTTTATCACAATCAATTCCAACCCTGGCTAAACCCAACCAGCAATAATGTAAAAATATTTATTGTCGAGTAGGGTAGAATGGGGACAGTTGCAACAATTTTTGCATTTCCTTCAGTTTCTCAGAGACAGTTTTTTGTGGAAATCCAAAATTTAAATGTAATATTTTCACATCTATTGGACAACCACCCACATCACTATGAAACGTGTGCATATGTAAATATATGCAGAATTTAAACTTGAACAGACAAAGTAAAACTTTGCAACTGACCTCAAGTAGGGAGATGCCTGTAACATTCATTAAAATGTAATAATAAACATAAAATTTTTATTTAAATCTGTAACTTCTGAAACATCAGGTTGGATTAAAAAAAAAAAAGTAAAGACTAAAATGTAATTTGGTTAAATTGTTAAATGTGTTAAATTGGCCATATAAATACAGACTATTAAAAAAAAAACAAGCAAAAACCAATTATGAGCTCTAAAAAACTGAAAATATAAACCTTTATTAAACTACTTTGGACTTGTGAATTAATCAAATAATTAAATTTTTCAAATTAGATTACATTGAAACTGTGATAAAATTAAAATTGTACTTTGTCAATATGGCAAGCTTTTAAATGAATGAGACAGCATGTTGCTACTGTTTCAACTCTACCAACCCTGATTAAACTGCCTATGCTAGAGAGATACAATAGATTTAATACTTGATACCTATACATACTTAAAGCTAAGAAAACAGTGATTTAAATTATATGAATGAGTAATTTTTCACAAAAAACAATTAGACAGTATGAGCAATACTTTAAACTGAAGGAATGGTTATGGCTGATTTCTCTCAGATTGAAGGAGGGTCTAACTGAGAATATGTAGTATGAATATCATCACTAGCACATTCCTGAATAGAGGAATAAGTATTGTTGCAACTGCCTCTTGTTGCAACCGTCCCCACTTTCCCCTATCAACAGCTGTATCCCTTCTAATTAATCATAAAAGGCTTAGATATGTACAGTCAGGGGCGGATTTAAACAATAAGCATGATAAGTGGCCGCTTTATGGCCCCAGGAAATCTGAGAGCCCCCAAATAAATATACCTATAAGTATAAATTAAATATAACATCATTTTCTATCATGTTTTGTATTATGAGGGTCTAAAAAAAACAAGTTTAATGTTTATTACATCGCAAATGTGTCCCCCACCCTCAATCACGAAGTAGACCAGCAGTCAAATTAGGTAGATTTATTTATAAAAACAAAATAGTCTGTAATTTTTAGTTGGGAATCCATTTTAAGAAAACAAATCATATAAAAGGTTTTACAAGATGCTTTACATGTTGTTGTTATTAATTTGGATTTAGATAAAATGTTGAAAAGGAGTGATACAAGAATAAAAACAGCTAAATTAATCAATAAAAATGTAAGTACAAATGGTGCATCTTAGAACTTACGAGCCCCATGGAATTGGAATTGCTTAGGGCCCCCAAATCACTAAATCCGCCCAGTGCAAACTATAATACCTGGAAAAAGTCAGAATGCAAACCAAAATGTCATAGGAAATCTGTCTGATACATTATCATAATGTTTTTTTTTTTTGAAAGACATTTTACGAAAGGGAAAACAAAACGACGCTTCAATATGTAAAATATAAAATATGTCACCAGGTGGCGCTGTTGCATAGGACAGAATTTCACAGCTGAACGTCAATGAAAACTGCTTTTCATTGCAGGAGAGACCATGCATCCAACTAAAACGTTTTCAATTCACTAGTTTTCCTCAGAATAAATTTGAGCAGCAACGTGGATATGCCTAATTGTTTCATTCAAAAGAGTTGAAAAAGAAAAGAGAAGTACACACTCCTCTGAGGTGGATTAAATAAACAAGTTCTCAATATCAATGAGCTGATGAACAGACCAAAGCTGTGCTTCTAAGCACCAGCGAAACAATACCTCTGATTCCATTATTCCGTCTCAATAGCTGAAGTGAGAACAGTAGAAAAATATTATCTGGGTGTCGCCTCGCCTCTGTCATCATTTACAATGGCGGTAATTTACATTCAGCGCCGCTAATTTCTGTGCTCTCGGGGGCCGCGGCAATTCGTCATTTCCTCGCGAGCTGCTCTTCCTCTGTGTGGAGTCTTTTCAAAATGAAACTAGCGAAGGAAATGACAGAGAACAATAAGACGCATTCAGAAAGTTCTCAAAGAGCAGCTGAAGAGGGTGGATTTGACTACAGTCCTCAGAGAAATCCTTTAACAAAGCGTGACGTCATGTCAGGGCTGTGACCTCCCTAGACTCGATCCTACGCATATTCAACCGGTAGGTTTTTAATTGCTAATTGTACTTTTATATGCCCACGGGATGACTGCTTATCAAATACAAGGAAGAACCAGTTAAATATTAATAACTGATTGTTGTCAACGTGTGTCTTTTATGCAAGCTTTTTGTGGGTCATTATATGTCCCCTCCTATTAGTGGGTTACTTTAAGGCCATTCATGATGAAAATCATCTTTAAGCTGTTTGGACAGAACTGTGTGTAGGTATAGTCTGTCCACAGTCATATTGGAGTGATATAAAGACAAGTCTTTTTTTTATTTCCTAACATTACAATAGGATTCAAATCCCTTCTGTTTTGAGGCCTACCGCAACTTGATGTAGGAATGCAATTTCCCAGCCCACCGAATGGATTGACAGCAGCGTATTAACATTTCTTCATAGTAACACGAATAATCAAATCAACAAGACAGGACACGCAAAGCAACTCTATCATCAAATGTAATCAAGATTCAATTTTAGAAGTTTAAAAAATTATTCAAACATGTTTATAATCAATTACAGCAATTTTACCATCACCACAGCTGCATGCAGGGCCGAAGTGTCCATAGGAGCAACCTAGGCAGCCGCCTACGGCAACAAAACAGTGAGGGTTGCGTCCGCGACACATCAAATACATCAAATAATCATTGGGAATGTTCTTACTGTTCTCACACACATTACGTTTAATCTGCTTCCTTCATGTCTGTCTCTCTGCTGTTTATCTGTCGCAGCACAAGACGACCCACTCTGACAGATATGGGAACGGTGACCGGGGAGAACCAGCATTAAAGGCACAGGCGACAAAAACAGCTACAAGATTCTCAGAGCTGAAAATAACATCTGAAAGGTATAATAAATAATCTGATGGGTGTTTTAACTTTTACAGACACATTGACACATTTTGACATCTTAAATCTTGAAAAGAGGGGTAAAATAGGTGTCATTTAAGCCAAAATTGTAAATTCTGTTATTAATTAATCACCCTCTTCTTGTTCAAACCTCCGAATAGGAGCATACATTATGAAATTTTAGTTGAAATAGACTGCAAAACATCTTCAAAACAGACCAAGATGTCTTCATTGGCTCTATTGGAATATTATCAAGCTACAAATATACTTATGCACATAAACTAGAATGATGACTAACAGTTTTTTTTTTTTTTTGGTAACACTTTATTCTGATGGTTTATTTGAGTATTAGTAGACTGTCTGCTTACTATCTGTTAATACTGCTCCTTCAACAGACATTTAACTGACTATAAGAAACTTTGCAAGTACATGTCAACTTACACTAACCCAAACCTAACAGTCTACTTATAATCTAATGAGAGTTAGTTTGCGTTACGGTTGTGGCCGTATATA